ACTGACGGGCGGCGCTGGTTCAGGCCCTCCGCCGCTTCGGACTTACCGACATATTTGGGGTAGACCCGACGTCTCCATCAAGCAGCATTGGCAGCTTGTTGCGTGGAACCAGTTGTTTGTCAGTGCCCGCCGCCTCCTGATGGTTTGTCTTGAACTCGGGGCTCGCGGTGTCCTGGAACACCTGGAACAGGCTTGGTTTCCACTGCGTTGCTGGCTGCGCGGCTGCCAGAGCTCAGGGGCACGATTCGCGGTCTTGGCTGCAAGCGGAGCTGCGCGCACCCACGTGGGCATCGCAGATTATTGGAGGTGAGAGAGCGACGGGACCTGGAGAACTGCCCCCCAAGAAGAGGCACCCCCCCAGCCATGTGAGACGCGATTACCCGCGCTTTGCATGCGCACCTGGACAGAGCATGGAGCGCTACAGGTATCGAGCAAGACGCGTCGGATCTTCCAGAGGAATTCCGCTTGTTCTTCCAGGCTCTGGACAAATATGTTGAGCAAGGAACTGATATTGCTCAGGATTTCTGTTTTTTTCCAGAACAAGAAGAAGCACGATCCTCGTTTCGACCAGCCAGCCCCGCCCACCCACCCGTGGAGAGGGAGCGCCGTCAGGGAGGAGAGGAGGAGGACGCCGTCGCCTACGACTTTGTCTCCTGCGACTTCGACGCTTCCGCCATCACGGCGGCCGAGGCCGCGCCGGGGGCCCCAGCGCGGCCCCCATTCCCCTCCTCTCCCTGCCCCCCCTTTTCCGCCCCTGCGCTCCCTCCTGAGCTTAGGGCCTCAATTCAAAAGAAGAAGAAGAAGAAGAAGAAGAAGAAGAAGAAGGATAATAATAATAATAAGAAGGCCGCCAGTGAGCGCGGGTGGCAGCGACAACGCGCTGCCCTCGGTTTGGGCCCCAGGCCTAGCTCCCTCTTCGATCGGCCCCCCAACACTGGGCGGTGCCCTTCCGCCCATCAATCTTCTCAGTGACCCGTTTGGGGACCGTGGTCCCCCACGCCAACGTCGCCGATGCATCGCCGACGTCGCCGATGCATCGCCGATGCATCGGCGATGCAATGGCGATGCGTTGGCGATTCTTCGATGGTTGGCGGGGATAGAGTTCGGATGTCGCCACCTACCCTCTGCCCCATTATTCCGGACCTTTTCCGCCCTAGCCTTCCGGCTTTTCCCCGCGTGATTTACGTGAGTTTCGGGTGCCCACTGCCTGCATGAATGCACATCCGGTCGGCCCATGCAGCCTCGGGCCGGATCCCGAGAACAGCGAACGGTTTACGTAGTTCGGAGCCGCCACAGCTGCATGGCGTCATTTGGTCGCCAGCCCACTTGCCCGACGGAACGATGGATTACCCACAACAGCGTCGCGACTTTAGTTCCCCCTTACCTCCGGACGTTAGGAGGCACCCGTAAGGTGGATCCACGAGCCGGATCCTACACTCGATTGGCTCAGCCGAGCGGCAAGAGTCTCTCCCCAAGCTGCGTCCAGCAAGGGCGACGATCGGGCTGCTACCCGCTTGTTTTCCAGGGTCGGCCGGGGCTGTCTGTGGCACAGGTTGAGCAAGACCTATGCGCCTCCCGGCCCCCGCCCCCCCCGGCAGGTTGTTGGCAGCCTGGAGGTGCGCGTGAGGAGGACCGGCCCTGCCACGTCGGCTTTGGCACGGCTGGACGGTTTCGTCGCCGCCGCCGCCGCCGTCGTCGTCGTCGTCGTCGGCGTCGTCGTCGTCATCGTCGTCGTCGAGTCTCGAGGGTCCAGGAGGCTCGATGATCGTGATGGGGGAGACCATCGGGGGCGCGTCTGGCCTCTTTTTGGGCTTTCCGCCGGGGGGGGCGCCCTCGCGGCTCCGCCGCATCGATCTCGAGATTCTGGCCAGAGCGCGATGCAGGTCAGGTCGTCGCCGTCGTCGCCGACGACGGGCAAGGTTGCGTTCTCCCTCGTCCCTCCTCTTTGCCCCTCCGTCCCTCCCTGCCCATCCCTCCTGTCCCTGTCCTTCCGTTGGAGGGAGGGACAGGAAGGGAGTCCGTCCCTGCCGTTATGGGGACCTCCTGGGGACCTCTCGGGGCGATCTTGGGGGCATCGTGGGCCGTCTTGGAGCGTCGGGATCCCGAAAGGGCGCGGATGCCAAAATCGCCCAGGAACCTACTGAAAGGCCACGACCTTGCTCTCGTGGGCCGCTGTGGGGCCATCTTGGGCATCTTGGATCGCTCTCGGGCCGACCATCCTCCCACATTCTTCCGGTGCCCGGACAAGAACGCGGTCATGCGATGCAACATGATTCCCATGGGGCGCACAAAAAAATAAACACAAATCCCAGGGTGCCCATATTTCTCATTTGTTGTGGAGTTTCGTTTTTCCGCCCACATCCCATATTTTCCCATCTTTTCTCCGGGGGCACACACGTAAATAAACACAAATCCCAGGATGCCCCATATTCCCCTATCAGTGCTCGCACTGAAGGGGTCCTAGTGGAAATGTCAAGATTTGGCGAAAGCTTTCCGCCGATATTTGGCTGGCTGGGTTCCCGGTTCGGGGTCCCCGGGTTCCTGGTTCGTGGTTCGAGGCCGATTTCGGTGGGTTCCGGATTCCCGGGTTCCCGGTCCATCTCCTTATCGATCAAAGCATCCCGGTTCTTCTCTGGTGTGATAACAGCCACAGTTGCAAAGTGCCCTTGCTGCGCGCCCCATCCTCCTCCCGTGGGGCACCTCGGAACGCTCTCGGGCCGGCCCTCCCGCAGTCCTCCCTCCGTGGCGACGGGCCGCTCCCCAGGCTGGGTCGGACGAATGGGTGTAGTGGTTGGTTCTCCGAAGGGCTTAGGTGACCCGTTCTCCTCCTCCCCCTCCTCCTCCTCCTCCTCCTCCTCCTCCTCTTCCTCCTCCTCCTCCTCTTTCCCCCCTCTCCTCCTCATCTTCCTCCTGCTCCTCCTCCTCCTCCTCCTCATCTTCCTCCTCCTCCTCCTCCTCCTCCTCCTCCTCCTCCTCCTCCTCTCGCCTCTCCTCGGGTCGCCTACGGCCCCGGGGGAAATCGTGCAGAGTTGGGGGGGAGGCAGGCACGAACTCTGACGCGTGTGCAGTCGGTCTCGGCCCCGTCGCCAGGCACTCTGCCGCCGATCTCTGGCGACGGCAGGCGCTGGGAAAGTCAGCCGCGTGCGGACGATTCCCCAGACCCCCCGCTCCTCCTCCTCCTCCTCCTCCTCCTCCTCCTCCTCCTCCTCCTCCTCCTCCTCCTCCTCCTCCGCCTCCGCCTCCGCCTCCGCCTCCGCCTCCGCCTCCCCCTTCCTCCTCCTCCTTCTCATCGTCCTCTCCTCCCCCACCTCTCCCCCTCCCCCTCCTCCCTCCTCTCCTCCTCCTCCTCCTCCTCCTCCTCCTCCTCCCTCCTCCTCCTCCTTATCCCTCCTCCTCCTCCTCCTTATCCTCCTCCTCCCTCCTCCTCCCTCCTCCTCCTCCTCCCTCCTCCTCCTCTCCTCCTCCTCCTCTCCATCCTCCTCTTCCTCCTCCTCCTCCTCCTCCTTCTCCTCCTCCTCCTCCTCTCTCTCCTCCTCTTCCTCCTCTCCCCTGCTCCTCCTCCTCCTCCTCCCTCCTCCTCCTCCTCCTCCTCCTCCTCCATCCTCCTCCTCCATCTCCTCCCTCCTCCCCCTCCCCCTCCTCCTCCCCCAGCCTCCTCTTCTCCTCCTCCTCTCCTCCTCCTCCTCCTCCTCCTCCTCCTCTTCCTCCTCCTCCTCCTGCTCCTCCTCCTCCTCCTCCTCCCCCTCCCCCTCCTCCTCCTCCTCCTCCTCCTCCGCTCCCCCCTCCTCGGGTCGCCTACGGCCCCGGGGGAAACCATGCAGAGTTGGAAGGGGAGGCAGGCGCGAACTCTGACGCGTGTGCAGTCGGTCTCGGCCCCGTCGCCAGGCACTCTGCCGCCTATCTCTGCCGCCGGCAGGCGCTGGGAAAGTCTGCCGCGGGCGGACTATTCCCCAGACCGCCCTCACCCCCCCTCCTTCTCTTCCTCCTCCTCCTCCTCCTCCTCCTCCTCCTCCTCCATCCGCCTCCTCCTCCACAATTACTCAATATGAGTGCTACTCTCCCTCTTCCCCTGATGACGGTTTGAAAGTGTCCGTCCCCCCCCCCGCGTATTGTTTTTTACACACAGGTTTCCCCGGAGTTGGGTTTTCGCTTGCATGTTTTCCCAAAATGCTGCTCTCGCCGAGGCGCCGGCCTCATTTTCGGGCCCCGCTCGTTCCGATGTGTGCTCCCGCTGCAGCGCTGGCCTCATTTCCGTGCTTCCGCTTGTTCTGAATCGTGCTCCCGTTTCAGCGCTGGCCTCATCTCCGCGCTTCCGCTCGTTTCGACCCGTGCTCCCGCTGCAGCGCTGGCGTCATTTCCCGTGCCATGCCACGGCATGCAATGCAATGCTAGGTTGACCTACGCTTTGCGATGCTCTTCTACGCCATGCCATGCCGTGCTCTACAATGCATCGCGTACCCTTTCGGGATCATTGCCCTGCTCGACATCCGACTGTGCGAGTAGAGAGGGGATCTGCGCCATGGTAAGGGATGGGAGGGTGGGGTAGGATGTCAGATATGACGCGAGCGCACCTAGCTTGTCCCCCTCCCCCTCTCCCTCCTCCTCCTCCTCCTCCTCCTCCTCCTCCTCCTCCTCCTCCTCCTCCTCCTCCTCCGTCCGACCCAGCCACGGGGCCCACGGAAGCCCAGGCACGCCGCTGGTCGCAGGCGCTCGATCCTCCAGCTGCGTGAATGAGTGTCCGCTTCGCTCTCTTCGAGAGTGCGCCAGAGCCGCACGCAGAAGAAGCAGACAGAGGGAGGAGGAGGAGGAGGAGGAGGAGGATGAGGAGGAGGAGGAGGAGGAGGATGAGGAGTAGACAGGATGAGTAGAAGTAGACAGGAGAAGGAGGAGGAGACAGGAGGAGGAGGAGGAGGAATAGACGGGAGGAGGAGGAGGAGGACGAGGAGGAGGAGGAGGAGGACAGACGGAGAGCAGGACGGATGCAGGCGGAGTTTGCTCCGAGGCCATTTTGGCACGAGCCGCGCCCTCCCCCCCCCGTCGGCCCAGCCGCCCGCCGGCGCGGCCCGCGCGCGCGGGCGTGCGCGCGGGTGCCTCGGCGAGCCGCTCGCGCACCATGGCGGCTGAGCAGCCGGAGGAGAAGAAGGACCCGCCGTCGTCGTCGTCGTCAACGTCGTTCATAGAGGGGTTCATCCCAAGGTCTGGTTGGGGAACATACCCTGCCAGATGCTCACAGCTCTTGACGGACCGTGTTTAGCGGCTAGCGACTTCCCGCTGAGCCCACCTCTGCCCCTACCACATTTTTTTACGTTCCCCCGACTGGTGGTCGGGCTCAGAGGAGGAAAAGGTATCGATACCGCTGGCATTGCGAAATCCTGGTCAGAACGCACCCCATGAGAGGTCCTGGGAGTAGCGGTATCGGTACGGTAGGTTCGTGTCGTGTCGACCGGCGGAGACCCCGCCAGCGGCGTTCAACGTTGAATCGTTCGATGTGGAACGATTTGGACGTTTCGGAAACGGCTGTTTTTATTTCTCGTCCAGAAAATCCGCCTGTTCCCCCCGCGTTTTTCCCCTCCGTGCCCGCCCTCCTCTTCTGCCTTTTGGAGAGCGTTTCTGCCCCGGGCGATAGCTCGAGTAGGAGATCGACTACAGCATTGAGTTACCCATAGCCTGTTTTCCTCGTCGACTCTTCAAACAAAAAAACAAAACAAAAATATAAAACGTATCATGTTGATCGATCTACGCGCAGTGTACGTATTTGTCGCAGTCTCGATGGAAGCACCCGGTAACGTTGAGTTCACGCTTCGGCGCCGTCTGGGAGTGTCTATGAGTAACCAAAGACAACTCGGACGCCAGCACGAATCGTGACAGTACCTTGGACGGGGGCCGGTAACGGCCAACATTGGGGGGAACCTCATATATATATATATATGTGTATATACATACACATATATATATGTTTATATATGGTAAAGATATACATATATACATAACAGTGTCTTGTCTACTGCACCCTAGCCGCACACCCCGCCGGCTTTCTGACCGAGTTGGCGTTCGCCTTCGTTGTTGACCCAAGAAAGTGTGTTGGTCCCCCTCTTGAGGGACAGCCCCCTAGGCCTCGTAGTTTCTCTCTTTCGACATGCGTGAGGCCCCAGGGAGAGGTCATCTCATATTATCATCCTTCCCTCCTCTCTTCGCTTAGGATGCAACTCCCAGGAGGTTATATTGAGCGTCGGCGCTGGTGGATCCGCGTGGTCGAAAACCGGCCAAATCTAGTACAGTCCCGTTAAGTTCCGCGCAATCCCATTCAATCCGGCGGAAGCGAGCTTAATTCGTAAGTTTACCCAGGCTAGTCTGGCTTAGTGGCCCTTTCATCGGCTTAGGTAGGGCCGCCATACTGATGGGCGTACCGACCAAGGAGGAGCTGGTGGAGGACGAGGTCGAGAGGGAGGAGCCAGAGGGAGGGGATGAGGCGGAGGAGGAGGAGGCGGCGGAGGAGGAGAAGGAGGATTAGGAAGTCTTCCTCCTACAGGAGCCGGAAGAGGGCGAGGAGAAGAAGTTGGAGGAGAAGAAGGACCAGGGGGCGCCGAAAAGGGGGGAGAGTGGCTCTCGCCCAGACCTGAGGCGGCTCGAAGAAAAGGTAGCGCGAGGGGAGTTTCGCCGTCTTTGGCGCCTGGGGGCCCTTGTCCTGGCCCTGGAAGCTTCAAAACAACCGCTCTGGATGAAAAAGCATACAGTCAACCCGCAGATCAAGGATGGGCATCCTTCCCAAGGGTACCATTGCATCCTTGCCTCCTCGGTCCATCCGTGGCCACTATCGTTGGCCGCGCTCCGCTCGAAAAGCTTCGAACTGGGCATTCAAGGCCCTTGCATCCTTACCGTGCACCCTTTATGATCCTGGCGGACTGTACCGAGGAGGCTGTCGGATGTTCTGGGGGCTGGCGAATCGAACAGATCTAGCCGTCGAAGGTCTTAGGGGGGGAGACATCGACCCCCAGTTGCCCGTTCGTGGGCGGCCCACCCTGCCCAGCAACTTGCGGCATCTGGGGCCCGATCGCCGATGTATCGGCGATGCATCGCCGATGCCATGCCGAGAAGATCCCCCCCCTGAGCCAGTCCCTCCACGCTTCGGTCCCCATCCGAGGAGCCAGAGCCGGAGGACGAGGAGGCCAAGATCGACTTCGAGGGCCTGGACCTGTTCGGGGTGGACGAGGTCAAGGACATCGGTGCGGGCGTGCCGCTGTTCAAGGATCGGGTTGACCCAGAAGGGGGTCCAGCGACAAGAGGGTGGTGCAACAGATTTGGTGCAATAGATTTGTTGGGTTGCAATACATTTGAGGCGTGCAGTACATTCCAGGGCGCAAATGTATTGTTGGAGTTTCGCGTGCAATACAGTATTTGCAATACAATGCAGCACAATCCTCCGGCGCAATACGTTTGCAATTCAATTGCCCGAGATCTATAACACCACCCTCTTTCAGCTGGACCCCCTTTTGGGTCACCTAAGAAGGAGTTCCAGATGGAGGACTGGACGGTCATGGGATTGGCCTTCGAGCTGCACCTAATGGCACACGCGTTCGGCAAGGACGTCAACGACCCCGAGCGGCAGGGGATGCACCTGGACCACCTGCAGTTCTACTACCAGAAGTACTTCAAGAAGCCGCTCAACCTGCAGCTGTTTGGCGTCTCGAGCGTGAAGGAGCTGCTGGCCTTGGGCATGCTCAGAGACGTCGTCTACACCTCGAAGCAGGGCGTCCTGCGCTCCGCCATGGACGAGGAGATGGAGAGCTTCCAGGTCGCAGAAGGGTCCATTTCGATGCGATCGACCAGATTCGGTGTCCAGTCTGGCCAGCCCGGTCCGACTCGATTCCGATATTCCGCCGATCCGATGCGGCTCGATGTGAGCATGGCGTTGTTGTGCATCCTGGCGCAGCCGACCCGATTCGATTTCGATCATGTGCCGATGAAGCCCGATCCGACGCACGAGTCGAATCGATCCGATTTACCGAGTCGACGCTGGCTGATCCTGAGTCGCAAAGCCGTTTGTAGAACATGTAAGCCACCTGTATGCTAGATTAGGCCAGATGTAACCCTCCTCGGCATCCACTGGTATACCCCCCAATATCCCCTTAGCAACCCCCGCGCCGATCCCAGCAGGTCACCACCCATGGGGGCGCGAGCATGCTCGCACGTCGCGCCCTGATCTCCGACGACCCTGAGATCGGACGCAGCGAACAAAAAAACAACATCGTAAACCATCACGCCCGGAGCCCTAGACCCCATCTTTCTGCTTCATTTTTCGAGCCGGATCGATCCGTGAAGGTCCTGGGGCCCCGCAAAAAGGCGAAGACGCCGGGCTCGAAAAAATTGCATCTTCGATCAATATCTGTGCCACCAGCTGTCCCTTGTCGCGCTTGGTCCAGTAGCAGGGCTCCAAAAGCAACTTGCGGAAGCCAAGCTCGGACAGGTAAGTAGTGAGGGTCACGTGCCACTCCCAGGGTGCGTCGTCTAAACCGTACACTACAACCTTGAGCTCGATCAAGCAGCCCTCTGGGACATGTATCCCAGCAAGACCCTCATAGGGTGCCACGTATATGGGACCCCCTGATCGGCGCAAAGGACGAGACTGACTGAAGGCGTGCTTGCAGTCAGACGCCAGGATCTCAGTGGTCGGTATCGTTTAACCAATCCCCATCCCCATCCCCATCCCCTTCGAGACCCACACCAAATTACACCCCCAGTAGGGGATACACCCATTGGAATCCGAAGGATACGGTCTATCTCCCCATCTAAGGGGGTAAATCGGTCAGTGGGGCCCAGGCCACGCCGCTGGGGATGGGGATCGGTTAAACGACACTCACGGGGACCTGCCTGTTCCAGCCTGGGCGGCTTTCCTCGATCTCGGCCCTCGGGGGGCCCGTGGCCGGGGCGCCCGGATCAGCAACCAAGGGACAAGGGGCGGAAGACCGGCCCCCCGACAGAGAGGGGGCCGCGCCTCCCAAACAGAAAACGCCCACGTGTTCGTGTTTTCCATTGTTTTGTTTCGCCGATCGGCGCGGGCCCCAAAACCATCCCCCCTCCCCCCCCCCGTGGAGCAGATCTTGGCCATTTTGTTGGCGCCTGTTTCGAGCGAGCGGAGCCTCCCCCATGATCGACGCACTGCTGCAAACAGTCGCACAAAGCAGAGGCCCGGAGCCAGACCCGCCCCTCCCCCCCCCTTCCTCCCAATGTCGAAAAACGCTCACCACGGAGGTCTCGCCCCCCCCCTTGCCTGGTGGCCTCGCGGGGGCGCGAGGGCAGCCGTGGTTGCGGCGGGGCGCGGAACGGGACTTGTCTCTGGGGGGCTGCCTGTTCGCAGTGCAGTGGAGACCCATGCCAAGGAAGTACCCTGCTTGTCTCCAGGGTGCCCTGGGTTTTCTTGGCTTGCGATGGTTATGATCTGGAAAGCGCGACGTTCCACACCAAAAATCAACGGACGTCCTGGGGTCTCAGGGATGGGTCTCCCGGCACGCTTGGGGGTCTGCCTGTTCGTAGTACAGTCCGCCCGCACAGTAAGCATGGCCAACCTTCCCAAGGCTACCTTTGCATCCTTGCCTCCTCGGTCCATCCTTGGCCACTTTCGTTGGCCGCGCCCCGCTCGAGAAGCTTCGAGACGGGCGTCCAAGGCCAGTGCATCCTTACAGTGAGCGGCTTGAATAAGAAGCACTTCCTTTTCAAAAGGGGTTCGGTCGTTCCTTAGGATCGCATGCGTTATTAATCGCTCCTTGTTATTTATGATTTATCGTGCCTCGTGCGTTATTCCTTGGAAAACAGGGGCTTCGTTCCTTCTGTATCGTTCCTTCGGTCAGGCCAATGACTGCATCGCATATCCTTCGAAGACGGGCCGACTGTACGCTCGGATCTCTGGCGCGCCTTTCCTCGTCGCTGCCCTTGCTTCGGTTTCGCCCCTGGGGGCCTCCTGAGGTTAGGTCGGGCATGTCCCCCTACACGCGGATTTTAACAGAACAATGAAAAATACTCAAAAATCGTCCCCCGACCATTTTTTGGTATTTTTGAACACTCCTCATGTAGAGGGACGCCCGGCTCAATCCTTGGGGGGGGGGGGCGTTGCCCTGCCGCCGCGGCTGGAGCGACCTTAACGTGCTGGTGGTCAGGACGTACACCTCTTGGGGAGGTCTGGGGGGAGCAGCGGCCTCCGTACCTTTCTGTGCATGAGGGGGAAGAAAAGCACACAGAGATAAGGCATCGTTGATTCCTCGGAAGATGTGGGAAATTGTGGGAAGGGAGGGGAATCGGAGGATGATCGACCTACCCTGACACGTCGATTGGCGAATTGGCCGTTTTCGGTTCGCGAGAGGGCGTCGCGGCCGTCATTTTTGCGGGTCCAGGTCCGTCGGTTGCGGTCTTAGGTCGTTTTCACTACCGGGGGGGTTACTAAAGGGAGGTTTGTCCACCGCCGAGGGAGGACGAGAATCCAGAAGATATGATAAAAGATGGGCCATCCAGAGCGGATCGGGGACGGAAACGGGAAAAGGGCTCGGGACCTCGTGGGATCGTGGACTCAAAAATATCACAGCGGCGGCTGTCATGAGGGGGGCTGCCTCTGGGGGGGGGGGGGGATTCTGTCTCCTCCTCCTCCTCCTCCTCCTCCTCCTCCTCTTCCTCTTCCTCTTCACACTCGGGCTAGCACGGGGGGGGAAGCCCGTGGAGATGCGGTGCCAAGCTGTCCTCCGTGCTCGGGCCCTGCGCCCTCTTGGGGGAGGAAACACAGGAATTTGAAAAGGGGATCGACTACAATATTGATGTACGCCAAAACCAATGCTCCCGTCGAAAGTACCAGCACATACGTATAAGCTTCGCAGATCTGCGGGCAAACCAGTTTGGGTGTCAATCCAGTATGCAGGCGATACCCTGCTCGAATAATGCATACATTTAATATATGGGACGTCTGCGCGGATTGCTCGGGTCGGCACCGGGCCCCTCTCCCTGGCGCGCGGAGCGCGCCCAGGGCTCGTGCCCACCCAACTAGAGTTCAGTCGGGCCTGTCCCTCTACAGGAGGAAGATTAAAAAGTAGTCAAATAATAGCCTGGGGACGATGTTGTTTTGATGGTCTCTGTATGTTTTGAATACTTGTGAGTCGGCTTAATATGTCATTCAAGATCCGCCTGTAGCAGGACACGCCCGACCTAAAACTAGAGGGAGAAGCACTCGATTAAACAAACCTTGGGGGATCGGCGCGGGTGCCCTGGATCGGCTCTGGGCCCCCCTCCCCAGCGCGCGGCGCCGATCCAAGGAACCCGCGCGGGCCTCCGTCAGCATCGAGCCACGTCACCGATGGGCAGGAGGAGGAGGAGGAGGAGGAGCACATCGGCTGGATGGCGGCAGCAGGATAAGGAGGAGGGGACGGCAATCTCTCCAGATCTTCGTGAAGCTTGCGGAGGCGTCGCGGCGCTATCGCAACATCCGCACCGATTTCGGCGACGAGTCGGAGGTGCTCAAACTCCAGGTCCAGCAGAGGGGCGGCCAGAGAGGAGGGAGATGGGTTGAGAGGAGGAGGAGGAGGAGGAGGAGGAATAGAGGAGGCAGAAGAAAAGGATGAGGAGGTAGGTGGAAAGAGAGGTGGATGAGGAGACGGACTCCGCTCTCCCACGGCGTAATGGTGATCTCTCATCCTTGGTGTTTGTTTGTTTCAACCTTCGACCCCAGAGGGGTTCAGCGGCCTGCAGTTGAACTTCTTCTGCTGCGCGGCGTAGGGATGTCCGAATCAAGGACGAGGATGAGAGTGGAGCCAAGAAATGGGAGAACCAGGAAGGATAATTATAATAGAAGCATGAAAGTGGGAGCAGGAAGAGGAGATGGAGGAAGAGGACTGAGTCGGTGCGTGAGTCGATGACTGATTCAGGAGGAAATGGAGGAGGAGGAAGAGGAGGAGGAGGAGGGTGAGATAAGTAATGAATATATATATATATATAAGTCATGAAGAGCAGCAGCAGGCGTGTGGGGAGAAGGAGAAAGAGGAGGAGGAGGAAAAGGAGGAGGAGGAGAAAGAGGAGGAGGAGGAGGAGGAGGAGGAGCATCAGCAACAGCGAGTGACTAGCGAGTGAGATACTGACTCAACGAAGGGCAGTGAGTGAGGCAAGTGCAAAATCATGAGGAGGAACAGCATGGCGGGAGGAGGAGGAGGAGGAAGAGGAGGAGGAGGAGGAGAGTACGAGGAGGAGGCTAGCCGGCCTTCCAAAAGAAGAGTAGGGGCGCTAAATTGTTGTGAAGGCTCCCTCCAGTTCCTCCTAGCCCCTCTTCTCATCGATGCCCTTTTAAACAATTGTGGCCCACTGGACCCCCCTAGAATCCCGCAGAGCTCCCACTGGTCCCATACAGACCGCCTACAGTTGGCCCGGATTAGTTGATCGATTCTGCCAAATACAGGGTACTCTTGTGTCCTGTGCATCGCGCGTCGTGTCCTTCGCAGTCCAGGGGCCAGGGTACCCTTGTTTCCTTTTGTTTTGCAGGCCATGTTGCCGGTGGGAGTGTCTTGTCGCGTGTCTTGTGCAATCAATTCTGCCTGTATCATCACTCGAGTTCCTCTGTCGTCCCTTGTCCTCATTCCATCCTGATGGTGGGGAACTGAGTCTCCAGAGGGGTGCTCAAACAACTCAACCTCCGTCGTCCTCCCATGCCTTCTCGATCCTCCTCCTCCTCCTCTTCCGCCTCCCCCTCCTCCTCGATCCATGGTAAGACGTTGACCCTCCAATGCCCTTACCTTACTTCAATCCCTCGTCACACCCCGCCTGCCAGGGAAGGAGCCGACGACGGAGGCGACGGCCATGGCGACGGCGACGACGACGACGACGACAGCGACAACGACCACGACGACCACGACGATGGCGAAGAAGACGGCGACGACGACGACCACGACGACCACGACCACGACGACGACGGCCACGACGACGAAGACGACAACAACGACGACGACGACGACCACCACCACCACGATGACCACGACGACCACGACGACCACGACGACAACGACCACGCCCACGACCACGACAACGACGACCACGGCGACGACGACGATGAGTGGCGGCGGCGGCGACGCGGCGACGACCCGCCTGACTGCGGCATCCAGCCAGATCCAGGGCGCCAGAGATGGGGGCACGGCAAATAGGGGCACGGGGTTCCCCGATTTGTGATCGAATTCTGATTCATGTTTTGCCGATCAGCGCAGGCCTTCGCATCCCCCCTCCCCCCCCCCCATGGAGTAAGATCTTGCCTGTTTTTGGCACCTGTTTCAAGCAGGGGGAGTCCCCCCCCTCATAGGGCGCACTGCTGCAAACAGTCGCACTAAGCAGAGGTCCGGAGGCCAGACTCCCCCCCTCGCCCCCTCCCTTCCGCCCAATGTCGAAACACCGAATAAGAGAACGTTCACTCTCCACGTTCGGCCATGCCCCCGTGGAGGGGCCCCAGGCGCCGCAGACGGGGTCGTAGTAAACGGGGGCATGCGGTGGGTTCCTGCGGCGGCGTTGGCGCGCCGGCGACGCCGGCGCAGGCGTTCCAGGTTGAATTCTGCGACGGGGAAGCACCGAGGGTCCCGAGGGTTGATTTCCTTCGGGTCCAGTGGCGTTACCGTGTCCCTCGGCGTGGGACACGGTAACGCCACTGGACCCGAAGGAAATCAACCTGAAACGATCGGGGGCGCGATCGATCCAAGGTTGAGTGATCGACGCGGTGCCAAAAGTTTTGGCGCGCGCCGACGCCGCACGAACTTGCCGCATGGAAAAACCTACAACCTACGCCCGTGCTGAGCCATGCCCCTGTGTAGGGGGCCTTGGGCGCCGCAGACGGAGGCACAGTTAACAGGAGCAGACGGAAGAGCCTCAGCCCCCGTTTAGTGATCGTTTTTTTTATTCATTGTTTTGCCGATCGGCGCGGGCCCCACCCCCACCCCTCCCCCCCTCTTGGAGTAGATCTTGGCTGTTTTTGGCGCCTGTTCCGAGCAGGGGGAGTCCCCCTCTCATAGGACGCACTGCTGCAAACAGTCGCACTAAGCAGAGGTCCGGAGGCCAGACCCCCCCCTCCCCCCCCCTTCTGCCCGATGTCGAAAAGCTCGCTTAGCTGCGCCCCCGCTTCTGCGAAGCCCCGCCAGGTCGCCAGCGCGGCCCCGCAGTGGACGGGGCACCAGCGGGCCGTGCAGCCGCAGGCCTCTCGGCGGGCGGGCGGGGCGGCGCCCACGAGGGCGGTGGCCAATGGGCAGAGGGAGGAGGAGGAGGAGGAGGAGGAGCAGCAGCAGGAGCAGGAGGAGGATGAGGAGGAGGAGGAGGAGGAGGAGGAGGAGGAGGAGGAGGAGGAGGAGACGGAGGAGGAGGAGGAGGAGGGGAGGGGGAGGAGGAGGAGGAGGAGGAGGAGGGGAGGACGAGGAGGAGGAGGAGGAGGAGGAGGGGGAGGAGGAGAGGCTTCTTGAAAGCACCTCTGCTTCTTAGAAGGTGCGGGCCTTCCTGATCTGTAGATGCAGGGCCGGCGCCTTCTAAGAAGCAGCCTCCTTCTGAGAAGCCTTCCCCCCTCCGTCCACCCCCATGTGCGCGCCGCCAAGGTGAGGGGAAGGTGAGGGAGGAGGCTCGCTCGCTCGGCGACGGAATGGGTCCATGTCGTTCTCGAATCCTGTCCAAGGCGAGAGTATCATGAGTACAGTCAGCCCGCATAGTTGGGATGGGCAGCCTCCCCAAGGGTACCCTTGCATCCCTGCCTCCTCCGTCCATCCTTCGCCACATTCTCGTTGGCCGCGCCCCGCTCGCAAAGCTTCGAATTGGCCTCCCAAGGCCCTTGCATCCTCACCGTGCGTCCTTACCATACAGGTTGACTGTCACGTGGTGGTTGTCACGTGGGCCCGCCTACGTATCACATGTCTGATGCCACGGCCTCCACACCATGCCCTGATGGGCACGGGCGGGCTCCGCAGTGGAGCGCGCACGACTCCGGCGTTCGCTTCGCTTCGCTACCATACGCCATACAGTCGGGACTTTGAAGAAGGAACCCTTCTCGTTGCGGAGGGGCTCGATGTTCCTTGATTGTTGTACAGTTTGCCTTAGCTTTTCCTGAGGTCTTCCATGGGAAATCGACAGTTGAATTCATCGGAAAAGGGGGCCTCGTTCCTTATCTTGGGTTCCTTAGTCAACGCCCCGACTGTACGGGTTGACTGCATGACAAAGGCCCAGGTCAGCAGGTCCTGCCAAGCGGAGCGGGCCCGAGCCGCCTCTCGAGCCGCCCGCTCCTTTGGGCGGGCTTCGGGAGGAGGCGGAGGAGGAGCGAGGAGGAGTAGCGAGGAGGAGTAGCGAGGAGCGAGCGAGGAACGAGCAGGAGGAGGAGGAGGAGCGAGGAGGAGCGAGGAGCGAGGAGCGAGGAACGAGGAGGAGGATGAGGAAGAAGAGGAGCGAGGAGGATGAGGAGGAGGAGGAGGAGCGAGGATGGAGTGTCTATCTAGGCCTCCCGGATGGGGTCCGAGCAGATGGAGCCGGAGGATCGCGCGGCATCGCCGGTGCACCAACGATGCAGCACGACGTGAAGCCCGATTTTCGCCACGCCGACGGCGCCGACGCATCGCCGATGTCTCGCCGATGCATCGCCGATGCATCAGCGAGTCGGTGAGATGTTCCGACACCATCTACTCTGACCCCATGTGGGAAGCCTCTAGTTCAGCGCTCTGAGTGGAGCTTACAGGAGATCGGGGAGGGCAGGAGGGAAGGGGGAGGAGAGAAGACGGGCGGGGGGAGGAGGCAGAGAGGGAGGGGGGTAGAAGGGAGTTGAGGGATCAGGGGGATGGAGGAAGGGGGGAAGGAGGGAGAGAGGCAGACTTCAGTGCCGTTCCATCGATGATATCGTGGTGGCCTTCCCAGGTTGTCGGTCAGAGGCCCTTTCGCCGTGGGGATATCTTGGGATGCCTCTCGGAAACCTCTTGAGGCGGTTTCGGGGGGACCTTGGGGCTTTCTTGAGGCCGGATTTGAGCCTCGTTGAGGCGACTGCAAACATGGATCAAGGGGGCGTCGATTAGCGACGGGTCCCGTTCCCATCGGAAATTGCGGCACTGGCCGCATTTGGGGGAGGGCACCTCCCCCGATCCATGGATTCGGCGGCCGCGCGCCAAATCCATGGATCGCTAATCCATGTTTGCGCGCCCCCGACTCTTGGAGGCCTCCTGGGGCTTCTGTGGGGCTCTTCTGGGGACCTGCTGGCGGTCTCGGGGGTCGTCTTTTGGGGCGGAGGGCGCGACATGTCGGCTCGGGTTCCCCCTCTTTGGGGCCCTCTCGGGGCCCTCTTGGGGCCTTCTTAGGCCGTCTTGGGTTAAGTCGGGCCTGTCCCTCTATAGCAGGAATATCCAGAAATATTGGCAAAAAACGCCTGGGGGATGTTTTTCACTGTGTTTGACTATTTGGGGATATGGCTTGGATATTTTCTATCGTCCAAAATCCCCCTGTAGGAGGGCGTTTTGGGGCTGCTTGGAGGCCCTTTTGGGTCTGGATCCTCGTGGGTTATCCTGGGGGGATGTTTGGGCCTCTTACGCCGTCTTGGAGCGTTGGACACCCGAAAAAATGAGAACACTGACATCTTGTAGAGCCTAGGGAAATCAATGATTTCGGCCCGTCGGGGCTCGGACAACCCCGAGACCTCTTGGACCGTATTGACAGTCTCTTGGGGGTACTCTTGGAGTCGTTGTAGCCTTCCTAGAGATCACCCGCCGCACGTCGACGCGCTCCAGGAGCGCCTGGGAGTTTCTGGCACCAGGGGATCAGGGCCCTTGGAATCCTGCAAGCCGGCAACAAGACGACAGTCCCTCAACGACGCACTTCAAGCCGAGAACGAGACGACAGTCCCTCTACGATGCACAACTGTGTGAGCCTTAGGGCACTCTACTACGTGCTGAAGGCACGGTGGCGGATCGAATGGCCTTCAGCCCAACCCGCATCCGTGCCTGGTTTGTGGACCAGAGTCTCTTGGGATCTCTTGTCAGGCGATCGAAACATGAATCAAGGGGGCGTGAATTAGCGACGGGTCCCGTTTCCCCGGGGAATCGCGGATTTCCGCCGCCGAGCGAGGCGGCACCGCCCGCATTTGGGGGATGGCACTTCCCCCGATCCATGGATTAGGCGACGGCGCGCCAAATCCATGGATCGCTAATCCACGTTTGCGCGCCCCCGACGATCTTGTGTGACCTCTGGAAGGCCTGTTTGGAGCCTCCTGGGGATCGCCTGGGGGCCTCGGTAGGGGGCATCTTGATGGCCTCCTGGGGCTCTCGGGCGGGGGCCGTCTGGCCGTCTCGGAGGCCGTCCTGGGGCAGAGGGCTCGAGCTGTCAGTTTGTGTTCCCCCTCTCGGGCAATACAGCAGAGGCCCATGCCAAGAAACACCCTGCTTGCCTCCAGGGTGCCCTAGGTTTCTTGGGCTTCGATGGGTTTCTTGGGTTTCGATGGTTTTGCTCTGGAGGGCTCGAACTGTCAGTTTGTGTTCCCCCTCTCTGGGTTTCTTGGGCTTCTTGGATCCGCGCCTCGGCCACCCCCTCGGCGCCTCCGGCGCCGCCCCTGGCGCGCTCCGCGCGCAAGGGAGGGGGGCCCAGCGCAGATCTAAGGAATCTGCGCGGAGCGCCTCTTCTTCTAATTATGGTCATCTTGGAGGCCTCGTGGGCCCTCTAGGGGGCTTGGGAGCTGTCCTGGGGCGGCCTTCAAAGCTTGCTGGGCCATCGTGGGCGCTCCTTAGACCGAAGGTGCGAGAAAGGCTTGGGGCCTGTTGGGCCATCTTCAGGCAACATGGGGCCGTCTCGGAGACCATTTGGGACCGTCCTGGAGGCATCTGGGGCCAGCTTGGGTCCATCTTGGCCGTCGTGTGGGCGTCTTGGGGCCAATCTTGGATGGGAGAGCCACTCGGCCACACCGTTTATGGTCGCCGCGTCCAGGCGGCCAGCGGGCCACCGGGAAACTCTTTGGGGGAAGGGACAGGTGCTATACGATCTGGCACGCCGACACCCCTCCAGCAGGCAGACGTCGCCTAGGGTCTATTGGACGGCTCATGGGGGCCTGGAGGTCTCGTGGAGCTTTCTTGTGGGCCGCTTAGGGTCATCTCGGGTACCATGGTGGAGGGGAAGGGCTCGAAATGTCAATTCGTTGGTGTTCGGTTCGGGAGCCTCGAGGGGCGTCTTGAGACGATTGTCGTGACTTTTTTGGATGCTCTGACGAGGGCCTTCCTAGACGATCTGAAGCATGTTGAGTCCATAAAAATTCGAAATATGTTGAAGAATCTGGACCTCTTGGGCCAGCCCTCAGGGCCTCCAAGACGGCCCAAGAGACACCCAAGAGTGGTACAGCACCGGCTCAGGGACCGTCTCGCGCCATGTTGGAAGAGTGGGATAGCCCAACCACCCTCCCGAGGCCCCTGAAGCACCCAGAGAGCGTTCAGTCCGATCCCTGGCCGATGCGGTCCGATGCGATACAGGTTCCGAGCCGACACGACTTCCCGATCCGATGCCGACCGATCGGTGGCTCTTCTTGGGCCATAGCTCGGGCCTCCGGCTGCCGCTCGAGACGACCCAGACACCCCCGCAATGCTCGCGGCGAGGCGCAGCTGCTGGGACGCGTCCCGGTGCTCGAAAGAACGCCCGGGAAGCTCGCCGGCCTGTCGGGGGGTCCCCAAACGGGGTGGTGATCACACACCGTGGTCAGTCAGTCGGTGAGGATTCGGGGTCACCGCACGGTTTTGGGACTCGGGTGGTTCTCCGAGGACGTCTCGGGCGACAGCTGCCTCCAGGGTCCCGAGACCGTGCGGTGACGCACCGTGCGGTGAGGTCTTGGGGGATTTCGAGGTCACCGCACGGTGTGTCACCGTACCGTTCCGGGACTCCAAAGCCTGGCAGCCCCAGTTGTCTCCTCCCCTCTCGCCTCGTCGTTCCCGCAATGGGGGAAGCGGGTCCTGAGGGAGACGGGTCCTGATGGTTTTCTCCGTTTTCGGGCTCTCGGGCCCCCCCCACCAGGCCCCTGGACAGTCAGAAAACACGACTCAGGATGATGCATTCGTCATGGGGGAAGGCCCCGGTGTCCAGGACCCGTTTCCCTCAGGAGCCGCTTCCCCCACGTTGATCGTTCGTTTCCCCCTCTGTGTTCGCGTCCTCTCTGACCGCGGACCTTTCTTTTCCACCTCTCCCCTCCACCGTGCTCTGGAGCGCCCCTTCACATGTTGACCGGCTTCTGCCTCGCTGGTGGCCGCGGACAAAAAAAAGTGTTCGTGTCGTCGTCGTCCCCCGAATATCATGGAGCTGGTGCGGGGCTATTTCTGAGCCGACCACGACCACACCGCTGATGACGACTCCCTCACGCCGTCCGTCGCCGCCGCCGCAGTCGTCGTCGTCGTCGTCGGCGTAGTTATTCGTCGTCGTATTCGTCGTCGTATTCGTCGTCGCATTCGTCGCCGTATTCGTCGTCGCCGTATTCTTATTCGTCGTCGTCGTCGTCGTCGTCGTCGTCCCCCCGCCCTCCCACCACGGAGGTCGCGTGGCAGGCCCCCGCCCAGGGGACCTGGCAGCAGCAGCAGAGCAAGCCGTGGCAGAGCGGCTACGGCAAGGGCCAGGCGCAGGGCGACTGGCAGCAGGGCGGCTACGGCAAGGCCCAGGCTGGGAAGGCACCCGCGAGACCCTGGGGGAACACGACGACGACGTGGAGGGGCAGGAGGAGGAGGAGGAGGAGGAGGAGGATCGTGGAGGAGGAAGGCGATCAAGGAGGCTCGATGTTTCCTACCCTGAGCTGCCCCCCCCCCCCCGAAATCGCTGCCCCTCGGCCGCAGGCGCGGGCGAGTCTGCCGCCATGGGCGTCCTGCCCCCCGCGGCCTTCCGCCCGCCTGCCCAGACCCCGCGGGCCCCTCGCCCGAAGGCGGGCCTGTCCCTCTGCGGGGGGGGTATTCAAACATAGTCCCAACGGATTACCCTGTGACGTACCCAACCCTTCTCTATGCATGTGTAGGGGGCCACATGCGAACCCTACCCCTACCCCCCACGATTTCGGAGGGGGAGGGTGGGGTTCACCTCGTGAACCCTAGTGTGGGGGGTAGGGGGGGTAGGGTTCGCATGTGGCCCCCTAATGTGGCGATGATACCCAGGACCACTCAATGCCGACTGGCAGTCTGCAGGGCCCGCGGTGCGCAAGAAGAGCACCCAGCAGTGACTTCAGAAGGGCGCAGCAATAAGAGGTACGGCAACTATCCCAAATGAAAACACAGGAGGGGCGTTGAAAGAAACGCGCCCAAAAATTGAAGACAAAAGGGCGCGGCGGCGAGGGCTAAGACAGAACATCAGTTTAACTCAGCAGCGCGCTGCGCTGAGCAGGGCAAATGCATGAGGTGCATAACGGGGGTGGAGACTCATCCAGAAGTGGAGACAGAAGGGCGCGGCAGCGAATCCAAAGAGAAGCGCCCAAAAGTGGAATCAAAAGGTCGTGGTCGCGAGAATAAGCAGGAGCTCACAAAAATGGCCAGAGTTGCGCAGATCGCAAGCCCCCCAGGGGGCGGCGAGGTCCTGAGGTGGTCCGCGTATGGCGTACCTCCGCTGGGCCTCCCAGGAGCCCACGAAAGTGGCGACAGTTGCGCAGATCGCAAGCGAGGTCCGGAGGTGGTCCGCGTATGACGTGCTTCCTCTGGGCAGCCCAAGAGCCCACGAAAGTGGCGACAGTTGCGCAGATCGCAGCCCGACGTTGCGAGAGAAGACGAGTGGGGAACACAGGAAACAGGAGCGAAGGAGGAGGGGAGGAGAGAGGAGGAGGAGGAAGGACGGGGCGACCACAGTGCTCTATTCAAAACGAGAATACAAAACGAGAACCCAACACACTGCTCGAAGAACCCCTTCGCCCCCCCCCCCCCGAAGAACAGAACAAGAGGGCCCATCCCTCATCACCTCACTCGAAGAACAACAAACGACACAGGCAGCATTTTTCGGAGGTCCAGATCGGCGCTGGGTACCCCAGGCGGCACGACCGGCGCCGCCCCCTCGCGCGCTCCGCGCGCGAGCAAGGGGTGGTCCAGCGCCGATCCAAGCACTCCTCGCGGACCTCAGAAACTACGTAGACGTATGCCGTTTGGTGTTCCTCCTAATCACGTCACTGCACGCGCACACCGCCTTTGGAAGTCCTGTCCTTTTTGTCGGGCTCGGATACGGCCGCGGCGGTTCTTCTGGCCCGCGGGCGGTGGATATCAGCGTGGTGGACACGGCACGTGGAGGGTACGATGGTCTCCTGTCGCGGTTGTTTGCGACGAGCGCGGGACGCCTTGCGGTGCCATTCGGCGGGTGGTGGGGAGGTTGGTGGATGGTCAGTGCTAACCGCATGGTGCGATCATGTGGCGTGAATGGGTGCTGGGTGGCTGGGTGGGTGGTGGGTGGATGGGTGGGTGAGTGGTGGGTGATTTGGTTGGTGTTCGAGTTGCCCCACCAATCCTGGCTTCCACTTCTGACGGCAGTGCTGTTCGGTGGCAGACCCCGCGGGGGTGACGGGCGGGGGGGCCCGTGGGGTGGCGGGGTCGGCTTCTGGGTGGGCCTCCGCCAACTTCAATTCTGGTCGACGCTGGCGGCGGTTACCTGGTCGTCGTCTTCCCCAGCGGAAGGCAAACCGCCGTACATGTGGCCGCGTATCTTGAGCGCGGAGGTCGCAGTGGCCCGCTTTCGATGTAGGCCACACTCGATGCCTGCGGGTGAGAGAGGTGCTGGAGGGGGGCCAATCGGATGGGTGGAGTAACGAGTAACGAGGTCTGTGGGTTGGGAGCCCAAGCGGGTTGTTGGTGGGTGGGTTGGGGCGTGGGCGAGTTGTGGGTGGTGAGTATTGAACGGATGACTGTGTCGGTGGGTCGTGGATGCAGGTGTGGGTGGTGGCTGGACGGTGTGTCTGGGTGGTTGGCGATGGGTGGCTGGTGGTGAGTGGCCCGTGGGTGGCCGGATGTGGATGGTGATCGTTGAGTCGTGGGTGGGTGTTGGGAGGGTGGTGGGTGGTGGGCGGTGGGTGGTGCATCCTTGCTATGCGACTTGACTGTACGTGTCCCCGAAGATGGCCCAACAACATTCACCCGCACAACTATTCCAGCACGCGTGCGCCAAGGCCCGATTCCCGATCCGCAGCCTGAGCCCCCCCCTCCCCGTCGCGCCCCCCTTCTCCGCGTGCAGTAGGGGCCCGACCACAAGAAACCTTCCACACGAAGCCCAACCCTGAGACCCCAGGACGTCCATTGATTTTGGTGTGGGAACGTCACGCTTTCCATCGCAAGACCATCGAAACCCAAGAAACCCATGGCACCCTGGAGGCAAAAGCAGGGTGTTTCTTGGCACGGGCCTCCACTGTACATCGGTCTTCGGTGCCCGAGGCCGCCAGAGGACCTCTCGTGGCGAGGACTCCCTTCGCCAGAGAGGCACCCCTCCTCCTCCTCCTCCTCCTCCTCCTCCTCCTCCTCCTCCTCCTCCTCCTCCTCCTCCTCCCCGTCGTCTGTCAGGGAGACGTAAGACTCGGGTTCGGGGGGGGGGGCAGCGAACGCGGCCGCCCCCCCTCTTTTTCCTGCCGGCGGCGCGCACAAGGGGGACGAGGGGGAGGGGGGGAGGCTTCTCGGAGAGGGGCTGCTTCCTGGAAGCCCTCCCCCCTCCCCCTGCTCCCCCTTCGCGCGTGGCCGACCCTGGCTGCTTGGTGTGCCGCTGTCTTGGGGAGGCCCGCCAGTCTTCCGACCGCGTCGGCGACCGCCCTCGATGCGAACAGAAAGGCGTCTCCGCGTGAGCTTCTCGAGGCCTCTCAGATGGGGTCGGACGATCGCGCCGCATCGTCGACGCATCACCGATGCATCGGCGATGCAGCAGAGACGTCAACGATGCATCGGCGACGTTGGCGTGGAGAAATTCGGGATCCACATTGAGCCGAATCACCGATGCATCCGCGATGCCGCGAGATCCTGCGACCCCATCTGCTGGTCCGGCCTCCCGCGGATCGGTCACCTGCCCCTCCCCCACGGCTCGGGGATCTTCTGACCCGGGCCAATCCAGACCTGGGTCAGTCAGGCCTTGCAGGATTCTGCAAGGAGGCCACCTCCGAAACCCTCGTCGACCGTGGCTGATTATCTAGGAGTGAAGACCTAGGTTCGTTATCTTCTGATGAGACCCTATGGATTATTGTCCTGTGAATGGATCGGGCTCAGACCCCCACCGCCCGAATCATTATCTTTCCGGAATAATCCACCTCAGCTCAATATTGCAACATTATGGACCAGGGTTTAGTTCAGCCCGGAACGTACTCTCAAACGGCGCCCCCCCCAGGCTCCATCATTACCATTCCAGAATAGTTAACCCGGAGTCAATATTCCGGGAACACTATGAATCCGGATTTCTGATCTCCGGAGATAATAAGCCGGGGGTCATATTCCGACATGATAAACCAGGGTGGGGAGCTTGGGGGGTTGGGGGAAAATAACAAGTATTATCGTTCTGGAATTACGAAAACCGGGTTCATTCTTCCGGGAACATTGTAAATCCCAGTCAACATTCCCAGAACATGATGAACCCAATTTATTATGTTTTTGGGGTCGATATCCCCAGAACATTATTAACCAGAATTGATAATGTTCCGGGGGAACACTTATGAACCCCAATCAATATTCCCAGAACATTGAAACCCAGGTTCATAATGTTCCGTGGGAGACATGATGAACTTGGGTCAACAATCCTGGAAGATTACAACCCCGGTTGATATCTATTTTGGATCCATCTTGCCTGCAAGATACTGTAAGATCCTGCACCCAAGCCCCGGCCAATGCGAAGCATCCTGTAGAATCCTGCAGGATCCTGCACCCAAGCCCGGGTCAATGCGACCCTGGCCCTGCAGGATCCTCCAATATCCGTTTCTCTGGCTGACCTCCGTTTGCATTAGGTCGGGCATGTCCCCCTACAGGCGGATTTTCCACGAAAAATTAAAGATACGCACAAAATGCACCAACATAGCAAACAAACATATAAAACATGCCCCCTTTCAATTCTTTAAACTAGTTTTGAATTTTCCTCCTGTAGAGGGACATGCCCGACTTACCGTTTGCATTGACCCCCGTCTCTTGAGCCCCGAACGGCAGCCCGTACTCGCCGGCTGGAATGAGCACGGACGGGGAGGCATCGCCCGGGCACCGACCCCGACCCCGCAATTTTCCAAGGCTATACGCCGGTCGTTGAACGGAGGTATTCCGGGACATCCAGATCCCAATCTGTTTCAAGCGCTTTTTATTTAGAGAATCCATGTGTAGCTGCTGTCTGTTGTCACTCTTTCGGCGGGCCCGATCCCGACCTACTTCACCCGCTTTCCTACCCCATGGTTCCACCTACTTACGACGGGCGGGTACCCTTGCATCCTGGCCCCTTCAGCCCAACCTCGGCGTTTTTCGCTGGCCAACCCCGCTCGAAAACGCCAGCATGGCCTTCCAAAACCCTGGCATCCTTACCACGCATCCTTACTATGCGACTTGTCTGTAAGACTTGAGTTCGCCAGAACTCGGGTTTGCCAATTGGATGTTGACGGGTATTTGACCAGCCCGTTTTGGATGTTGACGGTCCAGATTTCGTGGGACGTTTGCAGCGAGAGGTCGCTTTAGATTGGGTCTCGTCATTTGTCCGACGGTCCCGTCAAGCCAACCCGAGTTCCCCGAGCCCGAGTCTTCCGTCTCGGGGGCCCCCGAATGTTCTGGTGACAACACCGCGAAGGAGGAGGAGGAAGAGGAAGAGGAAGGAGAAAGAAGAGGCGGAGGAGGAGGAGGAGGAGAAGAAGAGGAAGAGGTGGCAACACCGCGGAAGAGGAGAAGAAGGAGAAGGAGGAGGCGGAGGGGGAGGAGGAGGAGGACGCCTCACTCGATGCACGATGGTGAAAAGCTGGCTTGCCAGTTCGGAGTCACCGCACGGTTTTGGGATTCGGATCGTTCTCCGAGGACGCCTCGGGCGATCGGGGCCTCCGAGGTCCCAAGGCCGTGTGGTGACGGGCCGCACGATGTGAGGCCTCTGGGGATGTCGAGGTCACCGCGCGGGCTGTCACCGCACGCTGTTGGGACCCCCGATCTTCAGTGGAGAAAACATGCAGATACTCAGTATCGTTCAACCGATCCCATCGCCATCCCCATCACGATCTACACTATCCCACCACCCCAGTTGGGGATATGCCCCTCGAAACCCGAAGGAAACAGCCTACATCCCCATCTAGTTGGGTAAATCGGCCAGTGGGACCCAGGCGGCGCCAGTGGGGATAGGGACCGTTTAAACGATGCTCATATAACGATACCACTCCCTCGGTGTCGCCTTCGGGAGGCCTCCTGAGGGCACTTGTTCTCACGGCTGGCGTCCCCTAGGAGATCTGGCTGGAGTGCACCCCGGGAGAGGTCTGGGGAGTCATCGATCCGGGCTTGTTGTTGTTAGCCCACTTCGGCCCCGCGTGGTCCTTCTGAGAGTCAGCTCGGCACTCTTCTCCCCGGGCTCCACGACTTGCTCAGCCTTTCTCGGGGCCCTCCTGGGCTGTGTTCTGGTTGTGTCCGGTGGCCCCTTCAGGGCCGTCGGGGAGCATCCTGGACGCTTGTCGGTGTTCTCTCGGGGCCAGTTGGGACCCTGTTGGGTCACACACCCTTAGGCCGTCCCGAAGCGTCAGAGGGGCATATGAAGGAGGAGAAGGAGGAGGAGCGGTGGGAGCTTCAAAATCATTGGTGAACAATGTCATGCCCTGTCCCGTGATGTGGGCGCTTCCTGCGGAGGTTCCGGGACCATCGCGGGGCAATCTTGGGGACATCCGAGGCCATCGCCAAGGCAAGTTCGCGCAGTTTGAAAGGCTGTTGTTAGCCCACTGGACCCATCTTGGGCTGTCTGGTCTCCTGGGCCTGGGGGCCATGCTTGGGCGGAGGTGCTCTCAGAATCCCAGGAAGTTGCCTCGACACGCTCCCTCCCCTGGCGCCCCCTTGGAAAGGGGTCGCTGGCAGGCGGTTAGGGTTCAGGGGTGGTTTTTTCGATTATCCCTCGGCAGCAAAAATGATTGCGCATGAGTTCTATCTCGCGGAGATGACCATCGCAGCCAGTCTCCCCAAGAGAGCACATGGACACGCATAGAAGCAGCTACGCACTTGTTCGTACTTGTTTGGGGCAGCTGGGAGCTTCCCTGGACCAGCCCCGTTGCGCCCTAGCCCCCCATTATCGAGCAACCATGCAGGGCAAGATCAACACCGGCCAGCCTGGCCAGCCCTACAACCAGAATTGGACCAGGCCCGACGGCAAGGTGTGCTTCGCCTTCCAGAAGGGCCAATGTCATCGGGAGTTCTGCAAGTACCCGCACATCTTGACTGGCAGCTAGGCTGTGGCCGTTACGTGAGGGAGGTACCCTATGAGTGCAATAGTTGACCCTTTCATCGTGTTCTCCAGCTCGCCATCTCCTCTTCGCGATTCAGTCAAGGCTCAGCCTGGACGTTGTTTAGCACATCCCTTGGATCGTTGTTCGTCGTTTCGCTCTGGGCGGATCTGAACCTTTTGATTCGACCGTTTCCATTTCGCGCCTTTCCCGATCCAAGCGCCAATGTGATTGAGACAATGTCTAGATTGAGGTTTGGAGTCCGCTTCGCGGCACCATCGCACACGCCCCGCTGCTGGACTTGGATATATGAGCGGAAAACATGTTCCTGTTTGATCACGGTAGTTCCTTCGATTATGTCTCATCATTCGATGTCTTCCTTTAGTAATCCAGCTGCTTTCGGCAAACCCCGCCACCGTGCCATCTTAGCATCGAAGTGCAGTCAGGAACGTTCTACCGAGTTGTCCCGAAAGGCTCGGCAACATCATATTAGGGCAGTACGGGAAGCTCCGCTGGGTTGCTGTAACGGGGGTGCGGCCGTTGTTTTGCATGGTTGTTGCATTGGTTCTTGAATATGATCTTTTGCAGGCTTCTGAGGGAATTGTCTTCTTGATTCGGGGAATCACGCATGGCATAGGCAGAAAGTGTCTGAGCTCCGCGCAGATCTCTTTGATCGGCGTTGGGCAGGCCCTGGCCTCCTGCCTGCGCGTTCAACGTCTTGCGTCTCGTTCCAGCGATGTTGAGTGAGGATCCCTGCGCGTCAGGCTTCGGGGCTCGGTCTGAGGAGGCGCGTTTCGTCCCTACGCTGCTGCGGCCGCAAAATGCGATGCGTGAAGCGATGTTTGGAAGCGATGTTTGGCATGGTCGTGCAAATGCAAAAGAGGACAACCGCGGACAAATCCAAAGACCGATCACGACTCTGTTTAGTTTGGTTTGGGCTTTTTTTGCTGCTCGCTTCGCTGCTCGTTATTATTTCGTGTCGGTGTTCGTTGTTGTTTTAAACGCCTCGTTTCGGTGCCCGTTTCGTTTGGCGCTGGTTGTGGTTTAAGCGCTCGTTTAATGCGTTGGATGTACGTTCGTCTTTCTTTGTGGGCGCCTCTTCGGTTTCAACATCGTTGTGGTCGTTCCTTGGTAAGGCCCTCCGCCGCCGCGCAGCACAGACTGCCGAGAGCAGACCTCCCTCGGGATGGGTCGGAGGGATGGTAAGGGGGGGGACCTGCATGGGGATGAAGGGCCTTGGCGGGGTCCTCTCGGGCCCCTTTTGGAGCCAGCAGGGGCCGCAAAGGCCCCTTTTCGGGCCCTTTCCTTTGCCCCCCCTGAAGGTCACCCCCCGCTGCCACCCGCCCGAGATGGCTCTGGCCAGAAGGCCCAGGCCCCGCGGCACGGGCGCTCCCCCCCGACGGGGAGGGGGGGCCCAGCGGGCGGCAGGTGCTTGGCGCAGGGAGAGCGGAGAGGGCTGGAGACGGGTCCTCAGGGAAACGAGTCCCGGTCCTCAGGGAACGAGTCCGCGGGCCCCGTCGACTCAGGACGGAAAAGCTCGTCCCTGGGGGAGGGCCCCAGGGTCGAGGACCCGTTTCCCTCGGGATCCGTTCGCCCCATGCTGCACAGTGATGGTGGCGGTGTCCGGGATTGGTTCGGGTTGGTTTGATCGGGGACCCGCGAACGGGGACACCTGGGGCATCCAAGAAGGGGCCTCGCCTTCGAGGGTCGAAGGAGTTGATATCCCTTCCTCGGGCGGAAGGTCAGCGGAAGGCGGCGGCAGTAAAACGAGGCCGACTCCGCCAGCGGATGCCGGCGGAAGTTCGGCGGAAGCTGGCGGACGTAGAAACCGGCCTCCCAAGAGATGGCGGCCACGCGCAGAGGGGGGTAGAAGCTGTTCTTTTATCACCTGGGAAGGTAACGCATGTTACCTCCCCCCCGCCCCCCCCCACCCCAGGTAACGGTAACGCCGGGGAACCGGCCACAGGCGTGAACCTTTGCAGTTTCCATCGGACGAGGGGCAGGGGGAGGGGGAGGAGGAGGAGGAGGAGGAGGAGGAGGGAGGTTGTGGAGGGGGAGCGGGGGAGGAGGAGGGGGTCGGCGGAGGAGGGGGGTGAGGAGGACGATGACGACGACCGACGTTGCCCAAAAACCTCCGGAGGTGCACAGTCATTGTGGTGCACGCAGGCACGGGGTCGTTGTTGGGCACGCGGTTGCTGCTGGCGCCGCTGCAGCAGCTGGCGGTGTACACTTCGGTGTACACAGGCATCGACGTGCACGCGAACGTTCGGAGGTCCGCGTGGATTTGTTGGATCGGCGCTAGACCCGCCCCTCCGGCGCGCGGAGCGCGCTAGGGGCGGCGCCAGAGGCGCCGCAAGGGGGGTCCAGCGCCAGTCCTAGAAACCCGCGCGGACATCCGAAAGTTTATGTTCATGAAGTTTGTTCTTCCTCGACTCCCTCCTCCCTCTCCCCCGTCGTCGTCGTCTTCGTCGTCGGTTGCCCGTCACCGGGGGTGGGGCCAATGCCTGTCGTAGTCGTCGTCGTCGTCGTCGTCGTCGTCGTCGTCGTCGTCGTCGTCGTCGTCGTCGTCGGGGTCGCAGTTCTACGTCTCTGGAGGTCCCCAGAGGCCTCCGGAGGTCCCCAGAGGCGCCTCCGGGGACCTCCGGGGACCACCGGAGCGGAGTTCCCCGGAGGCCTCCGCAGGCCCAGACGGACCAAACAACGCCAAAACAACACGCACCGGAAAGCAAAATCCCGTCGTCGTCGTCGCCGACGACGACGACGCCCCTCCCTCTCCCTCTCCCTCTCCCCCGTGCACACAGGCACTGTGGTGTGCACAAGCGCTGCGGTGCACGCGGCTGCCGCGGTGCACGCGGGCATTGCGGTGTACGCAGTGTGGTGTGCGCACGCAATGTGGTGCACGCGGCTGCTGGCATGCACTGGCGCTGTGGTGTACACAGGCGCTGTGGCGCAACTTAAGGATAACAGAGGAGGAGAAGGAGGATGGGGAGGAGGAGGAGGAGGAGGAGGAGGAGGAGGAGGAGGAGGAGGAGGAGGAGGATGGGGGCCAGAGGGAAGGAGGGAGTAAAGGGAGGGGCGGCGGAAGGGGGGAGGGAGGAGTATGTATTGTCGGCACAGGCGCTGTCGTGCACGCGTTGTGGTGCACAGGAGCTGTGGTGCACGCGGCTGCTGTGGTGTACGCAGGCAACGCGGTGTGCGCAGGCGCTGCAGGCGTTTTGGTATGCGGCGCACACGGCTGCTGTAGTGTACGCGGGCGCCGTGGTGTACACCGGCGCTGCACAGGCGCTTGGCGCGCCGGTGCAGCAGGCGTGCCTTGGGGGGTGGGGTGCACGCCGCGGCCGCCGTTACCGTTACCTCCCCCCCTGCCCCCCCTCCCCCCCCCCAGGTAACATGCGTTACCTCCCCTGGATAAAAGAACAGTCACGTAGGGGGATGGGGAAGGCTTCTTGGAAGCACCCCTGCTTCTTAGAAGGCGCGGGCCCTATCTATAAACGCAGGGCCGGCGCCTTCTAAGAAGCGGCCTGCTTCTACGACGCCTCCCCCCTACCCCCCTTGCCACCTCGTGCGCGCCGCCAGAGATGGCAGGGTTTTTGGGGGGGCTCAGGGTTTCCCGTACCCGCCACGTGGAAGCCACGATGTCCGCGCGCCCCAGGGAACTGCAGCCGTGGGTGGGGCTCGCTGTTCTTTGATTGTTGTGCAGCTTGCCTCAGGTTTCCCGGAGAATCTCCATGGGGAATCGAAGTCCATATTTTGGGAAAAAGTGGGCCTCGTTCCTCATTGAGGCTCCCTCAGGCCAGTGCCCCGACTCTGTAGTCGATCTCGGGCGTCCCGGCCCGAGCCCGCGGCCCGAGCTCGCCCTCGCCCTCCGAAGCCCGGCCGCCCGCCGCCCGCGCGCCTCCGAGGACGCTGCAGGCCAAGGAGGAGGCCGCCGGGGAGCTCCGGTCGCGCTGCAGCGCCGCGGAGAACAGGGCCCGGGAGCCAGCGCCGCCGCCCCGCTGGCTCGTCGGGGTCCCGCAAAGTTGGGGGAGGGGGGCGGGAGGGGTGCGAGCTCGAGCGGCGTCTGCACCGAGCCGCCCAGAGCAGGCGCCCCCGGCTGCCGGCGGCTCCCGACAGTTGCCGACTGGTGGGGCATGCGGGGGGCATCTGACCGCGGGAGTTCGCGGCACCAACGGATCGAATTCATGCCCCCTCTCAGGGTCACCCACCCTTTGGTGGATCCCGAGCTTGTTCGGTAGCACATCATGGCATGTCCTCATACTTCCGTCTTGAGAGTGCATCAGCGAGCGCCGATGATCGTCGGTTCGCGTCGAGTGCATCAGCGTGCGCTAGCGCCTAGCAGTCGAAAGAAAGCCGATGATCCTCGGGTCGCGTCGACTGAAGGTCGATCTAGCGTCGACCCGCAAGAGCCAGCAAGATGTCCTGGGAGGCTCCTATGAGTTGCCGCAGAATCAGGGAAACGTAAGACTCGAGTAAGCGGGAACTCAGGTTTGCCGACTTTTTGTTTGACGAGCGCGTCCTGGATTTTGACGGTCCCGTGGTCGTGGGATGTCTGCAGGGGGAGCCCGCGTCAAATTTCACATTGGGTCTCGTCATTTCTATGATGGCCCCCGTCAGGCCAGCCCGAGTCCCCCGCACCCGAGTCTTACGTCTCCCCGACAGAAGCCCGCCGCCGCCCCGCGCGCGCCTGCCGCCGGCACCGTCGGACCCATGCCAGCCCGGGCTCTTGGGCTCCTGTGGCCGGGCTGCGCCCTGGGCTTGGGCTCGGGGGCTCGTGTCTCTAGGCCTCCTAGATGGGGTCGGAGTAGATGGGGTCGGAGGGTCGCGCCGCATCGCTGATGCATCGTCGATGCATCGGCGATGCGGTTTGATGCGGAGCCCGGTTCGCTTCACGTCGACGCCGCCGATGCATCACGCACGTCGACGATGCATCGCTGGTGCATCGCCGATGCATTGGCGATGCGGCGCGATCCGCCGACACCATCCACTCCGACCCCATCTGGGAGGCCTCTGGTGCCCGAGGTTCGGGTCTTCGGGTTTGGGGTTCGGGCTGGGGCTCTGGCCAGGGCTCGTGGGCTCGGGCTCGGGCTCGGGTCTGGCCTCGAGCTTCGGGGGGGGTCGGCCCCCGCTGGTCGATGAAGGAACTAGAACACATAAGCCAGTATTGTGTAACCGACCCCCCCCCATCCCCATCCCCTTCGAGACCCCCACCGAATTACCATCCCAGAGTTGGGGATGCGCCCCTCGAAGCCCGAAGGGAACGGCAGATCTCCCCATCTAGGGGGGTAAATCGGCCAGGGGGGCCCAGGCCACGCCGCTGGGTCTGGTCTCGAGCGCAGATCCAGGAATCCGTGTCGTTTAACCGATCCCTAATTATCCAAATCCCCATCCACATCTCGCGCCCCACCGTCTCGCAACCTCAGTTGGGGATATGCCCCTCGAAACCCGAAGGGAACGGCATGTATCCCCATCTACGGGGGCAAATCGGCCAGTGGGGCCCAGGCCACGCCGCTGGGGATGGGGATCGAATAAACGATGCTCAGATCCAGGAAACCCGCACGCTCAAGACGGTGACCTGCGTGGCGTGTTCAAGAGTCCGTTGAGCTCTCTGTGAGCAGCCCTGAAGCGCTCTTCGTGTCTTTGCTGGGGATATGCCCCTCGAAACCCGAAGAGAGCAGCCATAAATCCCCATCTGGGGGGGTAAATCGGCCACCGGGGCCTTGCCACGCCGCTGGGGAGGGGGATCGAATACACGATGCTCCATGAGCACAGACCTTCGGAGGTCCGCGCGGATGTCACGGGCCGCCGCTGGGCCCCCCCTTGGCGGCGCCTCTGACGCTGCCCCTGGCGCGCTCCGCGCTCCAGGGAGGGGGATGGGGATGAGGAGGAGGAGGAGGAGGAGGAGGAGGAGGAGGAAGAGAAGGAGGAGGAGGAGGAGGAGGAGGAGGGGAAAAGGAGGAGGAGGAGCAGGAGGGGAAGAAGGAGGAAATATGAGAGGAGGAGGGGCAAGGAAGAGGAGGACGAGGACGAGGAAACCCGCACAATCAAGACTGACCTGCGTGGCGTGTTCAAGAGTCCGTTGAGCTATCTGTGAGCAGCCCTGAAGCGTTCTTCGTGTTTTTGTTGTATGTTGCCTTCGTGATGCACTGGCGTGCGTACCTTGTTTCGGTGCGGTCATCCATGCCGGCTACATCTCATCCTTCTGCACACGTCTTTCCTCCGTGCCCTCAGCCCTTCTCTTGTCGTCGGGCGGGTCCAGAAAGGTCGGTTCCCTTCGAGATGGTCTGGACGTTGCTATTTTCTTTCTCGCGGAACGTCGAAACGATTTTGAGGTGTAGGATACGAGGCTCCACCCATTGAGATTCGAATAGTGAGTGGATTCCTGGTCTTCCTGATGCGCAAAATTTGACGCTCTCGGCAGGTCCCGCTCGTGTGGCACCTTTCGCAGGCGGCAGCTCTTTCTTGGAAAAGGGTGGTCCACGTTCTCTGTCCCCTTGGCAAGGTCTTTATTGCTGCGTGCATCGACCCGCAGGACATCACCGCCCACCAAGCCACCCCAACCGAACCCGAAGGCCCTGATATGCCTTCCATATACAGTGGGGGGGGTCGGGGAAAAATATGACACAAAAAACATGATTAAGTCGGGCCTGTCCCTCTACATGAGGGGTTCAAACATAGTCAAAGATAGTCGGGGGACGATTTGTTTAGTATTCTTGGACTATGTTGAATATGTGTTGGGGCATTTTTGACTTGTCGCCCAGAAGCCGCCTTTAGAGGGACAGGCCCGACCTAAACATATGAGGCCCCGTACCCCCTCCCAACCCGAAATTCGGATCTTCGGGTTGTGCTGGGGTGTTCCGGTTGGTAGCCAGGATAGGGACGAAGAGCCCTTGTCTTCCCACGGTTGTGCAGCTCGGCGGCGGCGAGAAAGTCCGCTCCTGGCGCAGCAAGCCTTTGGCTGAAGGCCTCACAAGTTGGGCTACGAGCCCAATTGTCAATGCTCATGAATACATTTGAAGAAGAAAGAAAGCCATAAGCATAAATTGTTGGCTTTCCGTGCGAATTTCTTGGGTCCGCGCTTGGCCCCCCGGCGGTGCCTCTGGCGCCGCCCCTGGAACGCGGAGCGCGCCAGGGAGGGGGGTCCAGCGCAGATCCAAGAAATCCGCGCGGAGCGCCAACAGTTGATGTGTATGCCGTAAACATCACCACGTTCGGGTCTATTAGCTGGGATTCACCGCGTAAGGCAAGCAAGGAAATCATGAGGGAGGGGTAGCACTGGCATGGGTATCGGAAATGTACGTTTGTATATTTGTGTTTTGGAAGCGTTGATGGCGATTGGTTTGCTGAACCATTGGTGAGAGGTTTACAACGGGACGTCGAGGCAGTAACAGCGTTTGTTCGATATCTAGGAGATTGCTTTCCCACGGAAGGCGCAGCAATCTTCCTCAGCCGGCAGTTATTCTGTGTGACCAGCCAGATGTTCAGCAGTTGTTTGGCCAAACAACCCCTATGTTAAACCCCACTACAAACGAACCAGTCGTTTCGTTTCAAGGCCGAGGCCAACCAACACGCGAGCAAGCAATAACAAGTCGGTCGTTCCCGATGGCAGTTATCCCTCATGGCGTTGCACAGTGTCTTGGAGCTCTGATTCGATACGATACTAGAACAGTGAGTTGCAAGCACAGCCCTCTGCAATTACGAGTATGTATTTCCGTATACAGGAAGGCATTGGTGTCAGCCACGTGTTCTTTTTGTAGAACGTAGAGCTTTGTTTTTGAGCAAGGCGGTGGGGCCCGCGGCTGCCTGCTTTGGAAGCCTTCCTCCCCACGCCTCAGCACGTCCTCCGCATCCAGAACAGCGCAGCCGAGTTCGGTGGGCAATCACCCCGATGGGGCAGCCACATAATGGCACAACGACCGTCTGCGATCCATCCCATCCACGCGTGTACTTCATCTCTGGCAGGTGGTTTCCTGGAATGTGACCTCAGAGTCCGTCGACAGAAGTGGTGTCAGAAATGATTTCGAGCGCCGCGCTATCATGCCGCGGACTGGGGGTGCCTCGTTCTTTGCGATCAGGGCAGAAAGGGATCGTGGCATCCAGAGTGTCGACAATGACGCCATTTCACTCCGCGCGCTTCGCCATGGGCACATCAGTTTGTTCCAGACGCGGCGCTAGTCTTCGCCACTTGGGGTGGGGGGGATTCAGACCAAATCCAAGACGAATCCAAGACTGGGACAACTTCACCTGTCGCTGTTTGACGACCCAGACTTATTGGACTGGTTGAGCAGAGTGGAGATGACGCAGCTCCGAGTTGCCACCTGGACCGCGAGCGTTTTAACCCCCTGGGTGTCAGGTGCGAGGGCCCGCTGAAGAGCTCCTGCAACATCCCCAAGGTCTTGATGCGGATGATGAGTATGGGTGTAGTATGCATGGATGCGGCAGGATTTTTTCAACGCATCGGTAACTCACTAGTCATATCCATCATAATCATGTTTGGCAAAGTATCTTGGGGCTCGAAGGTTTCGATGCTAGGAATCCCGCCTACAAGCATGTGGCCCCCTCGCTTCGCACTGGCATCTGTCTCCTGGGGAGCTCCAGCGCACTTCGCACTGCTGGCGAAGTCGACCCCGCCATGTACACGCGCGGTCTCTGCCGGCGCATCTGGGCTCGAGCGAGGTTGTCTTCATCGGCAGTATCGCGAGCGTTCCGCGATCCTACCCATAGCGCTTGATGACGGACGCCTCCCCAAGCACGCCGGGGGCTGCAGCGTCGGCGGCGATCCCGCCACGGCAGCGCGCCATGGCCGAATGCCGAACCCCAGATGCCAGCGCGGGCCACCCTTGCGAGCCACCGCAGCAGAGGCCATAAGCAGAGAGACGCAGCCGGAGCCCTATCAGCCAAGAGCCGGCGCAGATAGAAGCAGCTCGGCGACCTGAAGAAGCAGATCGTGAATGGTAATTATGAGCCGCTCGCAGGCGGGCCCGCTCAAGGGGCTGGTCAAGGCGCCCGCGCGCCTGCGCATCCCCAACGGTCGTGACGTGGCCGACCTCATTGTCGCTTCTTTCAGCTGTTGCATCCTGCCCGCTGTTCACTCCCCGCGATTGCAACACAGGAGGCAGGCGAATCAGATGCGAAGAAGTACATGAATTTCAATCAGAGGCAAAGATCACGAGAACGGGCCGCCGTGGCCTCACGTCTGGATTGCCACGACCAACGCACCGATGACGCACGACCAGACAAGGCCAGGGCCCTCGGAGCCTTGGATGTATACTGGGAAGCGCACATCACGAACTCCAGCAGCGACCTCCGGACCCTGCAGGATCAAGTGCTGCGACAAGACGAGAGAGGCCCCCAAGGCATTCAAGCTTCAGTTCACGGCATCGGCGGAGGTCCAGACAGCGCAGGCGCAGTGGAACGGGGAGATGGTGGGCACCATCCACAAAGCTTTTTGTCATGGCATTCTTGCACATGGAGGTCAGCACGAGCCAGGGGGTCCACCCGCGGGAGGTCCGGAGCCCGGAGCGGAGAGGCTCCTCGCCAAGCTAGGGATGCAGAAGGGCCCCAAGGTGACCAGGACATGGTAGGTTAGCTACACTGGCCTCGACCGTTGTATCTGAGAGGGTTGCTCGCCTGCCTCAGGGCGGCCGCCTCCAGGAGACAGGACCGAGGGCGCTGCAAGCGCGCGTTTCCACTCCCAGCTTTTTCTATGCCACTCCATCTGGGCAACACTTCGCTCCCCAGTTCTGCTCCCCCCGTCCAGTGCTCGCTATCGCTAGTTGAGTTGGTCTCGCGTTATTCTTAACTGAGGTCCACGCAGGCGCGAGTTGACCCAACAATCGCAGCGGTGACCTCCGATACGCGTGCTCACAGCAGGTTTGTTGCACTGCGAATTCACATAGGCTTGCGCAATTCACCACCTATGGGGCAATGATGCGCCCGCGTCACTCACCCCTTCGCTGAACCTTACCAAGTGGCGGGTGAAGCGCATGCTGTTTTGACATGACATCGAGTTGTGCTGTTCCATGTTCTCTGCCTCTGCATTCCATGTTCGTACGAGTGGCTAATTCGTCGTTGCTCGCAGTCGCTCAGAGGTGCGGTGCCTAGCCGAGGGTTCCTGGCGCCTCCTTTTTTTCAGGAGGTTCCCGGAATTGGCCAGTGGCCAGCGGCACTCCCCTGCAGGGCGGTTGGGAAGTGGCCCCGCCAGACGGCGAGCGCAGATCCAACGAATGCTGCTACCTGAAGGGCTGCAGCTACCAGGCCGCCTACCTTTGCCACGTAGCACAGACAAGTGGATCGCATACGTGTTGTTGTTCTTCTCCGCATCCCTCCGCATCCCTCCTCCTCTCGTACACCTTAACATCATCCTTCCCTCTCTCCCCTCTCATCTTTACGCACCCCCTCTGTCCGACCCCCGAGGAGTTGGAGTTCCTGCTGGCCAGGCGCCCAAGCCGCCTGTTCCTCACCGCCGCGGCGGCCGCCGCCGCCGCCAGTTGGCGCAGCTCCGCAGACGACGACGCCGACGCCGACGGCGACGACGCTGACGGCGGCGACCACGAACACGGCCGCTTGCCGCCAGAGGATCGAGGGTCGGCGCTCGCGCACGATCTCGGCCTCTTCCAGGGCTTTCTGGGAGGCTTCGGGGGGGGGGAACTCCAGAGTCTGCCGACCAAAACCAGGCATCCGCAGACCTGATCTCTTCCGCGCGCGGCCCCTACGAGGTCCCGACATTCTATTGGTGGCCAGGTTTTGATTTCGGACTCAGACTTGACCGGGGGCAATTTTTCTGTTTCGGACCCATGCTTGATGGTCCCAGGGCCCATCGAACGGCCCCAGGGGCCGAAATCGATGGAGATACCCGAATTGAAAATGTCATATCGCCAGAGATTTGGATGGGAATTGTTGGGAAGGCCCGCGGACCCCCAGGCGGGCGCCCTGCGCGCTGCACTGTCGGGCGGAGGCGACCTTATGTGCGCACCTCCCCCTCGCGTTGTCTACCCTCCGGCCTCCACTTGCCGCTCCTTCTGCACAGTCGCCGCGGTGCGGCCGCGGCCACCGCTGAGACCGTCGCTGCGGCGTCGACGGCGGCCACAAGTGCGGCCGCGCTGGCGGCGGCCGTTGCGCGGCATCTGCCGCCAGGAAGGTGTGGAACGTGGAGGTCCAAGATTTGTTCCTCCGCACCTGAAATCCTACGACGCGAACAAGCGCAACATCGGGACATAATCACGACCAGACTCTCTCAAGTTCTGAATCCCATCTTGTTTTTCTTGAATTTGTCTTGCAAAGGTGGTAGCGTTCACACGTGGCTGCCTATCACCACGAGGCCTCCGAAAGTGCAAATCGTTTCCCCAGGCCGATTTGGAGAACCGGCTCAGTGCTGAATTGTTCAATACAATGGAGGTATGGGTCTCAGGCCCCTGGGCTTACCCTGACACGGCGAATCACAAGTTTACCTCTGGGATCTGGAATTCTGCCAATGGGCCAGGAGAAGACCCCAAGGACCAAGAACTAGGTGGCCTGACAACATCGGAGGGGCCACGGTCAAGGCGGGCCTGTCCCTCCACAGAAGGAATATTCAAATTATCCCGGCAAAGCAACCTAACCCGATGTGTATAAGCATATCTGTCAGCTTCAGCCTGTCTCAGCCTCAGCCTCAGCCTGCCTCAGCCTCAGCCTGCATCAGCCTCAGCTTCCGAGAGAACAGAACCACAGACCTCGAACATTCCCTTCCCGATTCTCGGGTTGACCCAAAAGGGGATCCAGCGACAAGGGGGTGGTGCAATAGATTTGGTGCAATAGATGGGTCACCCAAAGATTCACACCCCAGGGTTCATCTCAATCCGACCGATCCGATTCGGTGTCCGGCCCGGCCCGGGTGTTGCACGGCGCTGCTGTCATCCTGACGCAGCCCGATCCGAGCCGATCTCGATTCCGTGCCGACGCAGCCAGATCCGGCGGGCTTTCCGATTCACAGCGGCGAGCCTGCGGGGAGGGAGTCGGGGAGGGCAGGCCTTCTGGGCGTCTCCGAAGCCCTCGCGCCCCCTGAAAAGCCGCCCCTGCCTTCGTAGGAGGCTGGGGAAACTGCTCCGAAAGCCCGAGGCCTTCCGAGCCTTCTGAGAAGGCCCACCCCCTCTGCATGCTGATCCGATGCCAACTGTCCCTGCCATCACCACCCCGCCGCGCCTCCGCCCAGAGGCAGCGCGAGGAGCTCCTCGACGGCATCACCCAGGCAGCCCGCCCGCGCCGTGGGAGAATGGCGGAGGAAGCGGAGCAGGCAGGGACGCAGATGTCCGACGATCCGATATTGTTCAGTCCGGGCGTTTTTCTTCGATGTCGGCTCCGCTGCGAAGAATCAGGCCCGGGAAAGGGGTCAGGACCTCCCTGCTGGGATCGGCTCGGGGAGGGCTCAGGGGAGAGGAGGGTGATCAGTGGATGCCAAGGTGGGTTACATCTGGAGTTGACATAACTTACAAGTGGGTAGCAAGTGTCCCGAGCGGCATAGATGGGTTAACGATCCAGACTAGACGGGCTCCGCCCACCTTACGGAGTTATCTCGTCCCCGTAGGCCACTTTGGGCACTGTTGCAGCCCACTTTTTAGCTGGGTCAGGCGAGATACAGCCCACCTTGGTATACACGGATATCCCCCCCTCTCTCCCTATAGCAACCCCCGCGCCGACCCCAGCGGGGCCGTCAAAAACGGGCCTGGGGCGAAACACTAGCCCCAGAGAAGCGGTCATGACATCTCTGGGGCGCGGACCGCAGGAACCCCATTGGCGGGTCTCACTCAGGCGGGAGAAAAGACACACAAGTAGTCGTCGACTCTCTGGAAATGTGTAAGATTCGGCGGTGGACAGACCTCCCTTTGAAACCTCCGTTTAGTGAAAACGGCCTAGAACCGAAACCGACGAACTTGGACCCGCAAAAATGACGGCCGCGACGCCCTCTCGCGAATCGAAAACGGCCAATTCACTAATCGACGTGTCGGGGCACGATGTCCATCAACCTCCGAAAGATATGGGACGCGGAAAGAGAGAAGGAATACTGGGCTTTGTGTCTATTGATGTGTGTGTGGTGTGTGTGGTGTGTGTGTGTGTGTGTTGTGTGTTGTGTGTGTTGTGTGTGTTGTGTGTGTTGTGTGTGTTGTGTGTGTTGTGTGTGTTGTGTGTTGTGTGTGTTGTGTGTGTGTGTTGTGTGTTGTGTGCGTTGTGTGCGTTGTGTGCGTTGTGTGCGTGAGTGTGTGTGTGTGTGCGTGTGCGTGTGCGTGTGCGTGTGCGTGTGCGTGTGTGTGTGTGTGTCTTGAAAGGGATGCGGACCTCGAAAGAGAAATCGTAAACAGACTTTTCCTTCAACCACACTCCGAGCAGCGAGCTCTCGCTCCAGGCCGTGCCGTATGCGGTGGAGCACCTGATGCCCGCACACGGCACTGCTGCTCAAACTGGCTTGAGCCAGTGAAATGTCTCAGGATCCCGCGATCCAGACTCCGAGGCCCTCTCAGTGCTTGACCCCAGCATGCACTCCAGACCCCTGTTTCTGTCCCCCGCTGCGGCGATAATGTGTGTGCCCTAAAGCTGGGGATCGACGAAGCAAAGGGAGGCTTTCAGTAACAACTTCACTTCAAGAGCCTCCTGCGCCTGCGAGCTACCAGCAAGGAAGGTCACACGAACTCCACAGGCATTTACAAGACAGCTCCCCTCGCTCCTTTGATACCTGCACAAACCCACAACATGACAGAGATAGTACCCGGCCACGCACTTGAAGCAACTTGGATCGGTAGGCCGGTCGCTTGCCCCAACAATTCAATATCTTCTGCCGCCCTCCGATGAATTGTATGCTTTTTTTCCCACTGGAGCAGTATCTGCAAATGTGGATTGTTGAAGTAGCCATTTCCACTCTGATCCCCAACCATTATGCCAAGCATAAAACACAGAGCACCTATGACCAACATTGCAGAAAAATGCTATGATATATGATATTTCTTTTCTTCCCACGGAATGCAACTCGAGCCAACTCAACCATACCATCATCCTCGGAGTCAGGTTCGTCGGAACCGTACTCCCATCAGTCTAGGTTGGCCAAGGCCTCGAAGAGGCCCGCCGCACGCGCCTCGATTGACCTTGGAAGTACTGGAGGACCACCATTCTTCTTCACAACGTGTTCATCTTGTCGGTGACCTTCCTGTCTTTGCACGCTTTGATTGCCCCGACGAACTCCTCCTTGGTCTGGCCAAGTTTGAAATTGCCCCCGAGCTCCGCTTGGATCCACCTTACCCGATCTTTAGATAAGATCGTGCATACTTCTCTTGGTTCATCGACTGGTGCTTCTGCTGGTACTCCACGGCGCATGGTCCCTGAAGTTGGTGGAGTCGGTGGGAATGCTGACGATCTTGATGGCCACGGAGACGTGACCGTCGATCCCCCTGGAGATCCCGCCGTCCGCGAGTGCGGTGGAGGAGATGGAGCCGCAGGCTCCGCTGGCACTACAGCCTTCAGCGCGTCCTCGAAGCGCTTCCCGAGCGCCTCTGCAAGGATCTTCCCCTGCTCCAGCATATCCTCCTTCCTCTTCTCCTCCTTCTCCTTCGCCTTCGCT